TGAGAAGTTCTGCATGGGGCATCCTGAACACTCCACAGTTTTCAACCCCTGTCGACTCTATTCTGGTTGTCATTGATGGATTAGCAAATGGCTTACTTTCCTGCCTTCAGTCCATCTACAGTTTTTACAAGTTCCTCTGATTAATCTATACTGGAAGAGCTTTTGGGATTTGACCATTCAATCCCTAAGGGTCTTCACCCGAATGGCAGGAGTTGTGGTTGCCTACCTACACCAGTCCCATACTCTCACATTTGAATATTTTGATGCCTGACTGGACATATACAGTGCTCCAGACAAGACTGCACTTGACACTAGCCTTACTTATGAGCTTGCCATCTGCAATTCTTCATCACTCAGGAATATTGAGACTACCCCTTCTCGAGCCCTGATTGATCTAGGTGCGGTCCCTGACTCCTCCCAGGCTCTGGCACACAAACACAACTCCTCCTCGGCCTGATGACGGGTCTGGTGGGCCAGGCACCCTCTTTACCAGTGTCATATTGAGGCCTCCCAGCCCACTTCCTGTTGTTCTTCCAGCCCAAATTGTGACCTGATCACTCTTCCAGTTTTCATAATTGACCTCATCCGGTTACAATCTTGCTGGTAGCTGATGTGGAACCATATGGTTTCCAACCTCCCTGTCCCAAAGATGATCCTTAGGTGACAACTTTTACCAACCCATCTAGATTTACACTCTCCACTGCCAAAGAATGGCCCTCTATGTTATGGTGTGTCTGTCATCGTGCGTCTTCAACCAAAATGACTACAACCACAGTAGTTGACTTTCTCTCTTGTCCCTTCTCAAATTTACAGTTAACATTTATACACAACTACCTTTCTGTCATCAGGACTATCCACTGTGGTTGTCACTGATGGCTCCACTGTTCGGACAGTGCTGTCCTTGAGTATTTTTTTCTTAGTACATTCATCAAGCGTTCCCCTTTGAGACAGTTCTTTCATTGTTGGGGCCTGTCTCATGTCCTTGAGCTCTTCAAAGGTTTTTATTCTGGGCTTTTCCTTGAGGTCTCATCATCACTCACCTTGGTGATGCTCGCCCCTCTACAAAGTACTTCTAGTAACTCTTCATTCCACTGCAATGGATTACCGATGGTATCCGTCATGGATGATTTCAATGAATGGTAACACCATGGCGTCTATTTTATCGGAGCCCTAGAAGCCCACTCAAGGTCTTATTTGAATTCATCCCACCAACAAAACATCTTTGTCTTAAACATCGTAAAGCATTCTAGTTCTAATGGCAAACCTTGCCGTCCTGTTCAAATTCTCATAATGGTATCTGACCAGGACTCGAAGCTGAGAGGTACTACGCTATGAATTTCCGCTCGGTTAAAACTGGTGTATGCTGTCTTATCACTCAATTTAACTGTGTTCATTTTCGATTAAACCTGGGGTGGCAAAAATACATGGTTGAAATAGGGTTGTTTTTTGAAACTGGTAAGGAGCTCTGCTCATTAACTCCGCTGTCAGTTTTGTGGTTTTTCGGCTGGGATAGCAAGGACTGCTATTTGGTTAAAACAGGGATCTTCTGCATGTTTTGGGGCATCACACTCTGCAGTCAGTTTTGTGTAGTATAATCCCCAAGGTCAGATGAGTTCCTTTGTGTGTGGCGCTCATACCGCATTAATAGGCTGCCCCGGCCTAATCCCTAGGGGTATACTAAATAGCTTTTAATCTCCACTTATTGATACAAGTGAGTTTCTGCAACGGTACTCAGCACTTTGTAGGCCTATCTTATACCTGAATGTATTAGTTTTTAGGTGTCGTGCATCACATGTATTTCATGATACAGAGATTTTATTTAATGCATCGCAAATCCTTGCCAAACAATCGAGCCCTTCACGAACTGGCAGATTCGCGGATGGAATGCAACATGCCGAACCGAACCTAAAATCATCTGACATGACACTTTCAAACCAAACCGTCCCACAGTTAGGTTTGGATGTACCGCTTTGATATGACATGGCATTGATAGCAAACAAAATGCATACAGTTGCAAGAAACATTGAGAAAAAAAGAAGAGAATGGAAACAGGATAACAGGTTGTAGCTCGGGACTGTACAATGCACACGTGCACGTACATATACATGTATAATGTACATGTACTGGTACAGTAAACTGAGATGGCCCCGCATCACATGATGGTGAGAATTCAAAATCAACTACTACATACATCGGTATTGTTTTTATTCAATCAACCCAGTGTTCTATATGTAAAAAATCATTGAATTTATCGTGTAAAGTTACAATGTACCTGTACGCATGGCATTTCAGCTGCATTACAATACTAAATTTTCACTTCATTTGTGCTTATGTATATTCAGAAAAACATTATGCATGCAAACCCCCAAGATGCATGCCCTTACGTTGCATACTAGGCCAATAACATTAGAAATGGACATTCAAAATGAATTTTTATTGGATGCTGATCGCAGTCGGACTCGCCCTCGATCAACAGCAACTCCAGGGGAATTTTTTTTGGGTCCATTTGCATAGAGGTACGGCCCAATTGGCATTTGATGTCTTTTTCATTCTTGCTATTGGCTGAGACGATAATTAAAAGGATGTTCTAAGCTTGGGGACGGGGGGATTGAGCGATTTCTAACCAGGAATTTGGGGTAGACTGTAGATCCAAAAGTGCAGTGTAAGGTTTAAGTTGAAGAAGGTGAGAATGAGTAATTCCTCGACTAAAAATACACTAACAGCTGGCTAACACAAGCGAGGTGATCGGCACCCGCCACAATATCGGCTTTTTATCCACCCCGGCCCGTGCACTTGCAGAAAATTTGCCTTCTATATCATGCATCATGCCGCAAGCAACTATGTACACGCATGACATTAGCAGCCCAGCAATTCAGCTCATGGGTGGGGAGCTGCAGCTGTACCAAGCTGGGGGCCCATTGGCCGTGATGCTGTCCGCTGCAGAAATTGTGGAACAACGAAGTTCGTCCTCAAAACTGGAATGAATTATTCCAGATTCTCCCGCGGATGTGATATGGTTTGGATAGTCATGTTCCTGCCAATTCGTTAGGGCTTATGGGCTGGTGGTACAAAGCTGCCATGGGGAGTTTTGATTGGTAAAAGCATCTGCGCTCTTGATGCATGGTTAACTATGGGCGCCACTCTTGGATTTTAACGTTAGTGTGATTGATTTTGTGCACGCAGAAAACAGTCACTTCTGATTGTCATCAAGGCTAAAGAATGGTAACTTTACCAATAAAACTTCATTTGTTTATTGTAACTAAACTACTCTAGACACAGGTATCATTTTTATTTGATCGATTCATTGCTTTATATGTCAAAAATCAGTGAATTTATGAATATCTCCATGCGCCAATACATTGAAGCCAATTTCCAACTTGTGCAAGAGCAAAACCTGTTATATATAATTAACATCTCCCCAATGCAAAAATACATCTTGAAAATAGTTCGCGGTACCCGCTGCTTCATTTGATTCGGACCGGCCATCCGACCCCGGCAAGCTCGGTGG